TGCGGCACTCTCCGTACCTAGTGCTTACTCTAACTTAGAGAAGGATGGACTTCGGATAGCCTTCCAGGTTCTCATCCAATCAATGCCTTGAATTCTTCGCGATTGTTTGAAGATCAACCTTCACTAAAGCCTGACGTGGGACAGTTTGTGGCCAGCGACAGATTACTGGCGCGGTCAGCGTCCGGCTGGGTGGCGCCAGACCAGGTCTTTAAAGAGCGGAACCAACCCAGTTCCATGTCTCACTTTTCAACTACATCCCATCCTCCATATTCACCGAGAAGACGCGAATCTACATATCATGGGCTCAATCAGCAATTTCTCGTGGGAACAAGATATCCCCACCTTTCGGTCGGAGATTCAGGGCGATGTCCTCCTGCCAGGCGACGAGGGCTACGAAGCCAGTCTAGAACGCTGGTCTATCGTGTGCATCAAACCCGCGGTAGCCGATCCTCCGAATAAACTGAGAGTACCAGCACTGATAAGCTCCAGGCCGTCGTAGTCAAGCCAAAATCAGCACAGGACGTCTCCGCCGCGATCCTCTTCGCAAAAAAGCACAGCATTCCCTTCACCACCTGCGGTGGCGGCCACTCTACAGCAGGCACATCCTCCTCCGATGGCGGCATGGTGATCCATCTCGGCCACCTCCGCAGCGTGTCCGTCAACATCGAAAAGCAGCTCGTCAGCTACGGCGGCGGATGCACTTGGAAAGACGTCGATGATGAAGCCTGGAAACATGGTCTTGCCACCGTCGGCGGAACGGTCTCGCACACCGGTGTTGGTGGCCTCGTCCTCGGCGGTGGGCAGGGAATTCTCAGTGGAATGTACGGGATGGCTGTTGACTGCCTGGTTGAGGTGGAAGTTGTGCTTGCGAATGGAGCGATCGTCACGGCCTCAGAAACCGAGAATGGGGACCTTTTCTGGGCCTTGCGGGGAGCTGGAGCCAGTTTTGGGGTGGTGACGCGCTTCACTTCCAGGGTCTTTCCACAAGGCAGAGTGTGGTCTGGGCCTTTGATGTATCCCACGTCGAAATTACCCGAGCTGGTGACCTGGGCGAACGAGTTCGTGCAGAGGATGGATGAGAGGCAGTACGTGGTGATGGGGTTCACTTATGGCCCACCGCCTGACCCGCAGCCGCTGATCGTCGTTCAGCCGTTCCATAATGGTACCGGAGAGGAAGTCAAGGAGGGCTTGTTCAAAGGCCTCTTTAAGGCTGAGCCGCTGGTGGATTTGACGACAGAGATGGACTACCCCGTTGCCAACACTTTGGTAGACGTCTTCCAGGGCCCTGGAGCCAGGAGATTGACTGGAGGCACCAACCTCACGACACCATTCGAGCTGTCAAAGTGGGAAGAAATGTCTCACGAGTTTTACTCTCGTGTAGATGCGGAGACTGCGCGAGGCAATGATATGCGAACCAGCATGTTGGCGGTGGAGATGTACAAGAAGGACAAGGTGGCTAACGTTCCATTCGGCGCGACGGCCTACTCAAACCGTGGCATGTACTTCGACTGCATGGTGCTGACATGCTGGACGGACCCGGCCAAGGATGGCGAAGTTCGGGGATGGAACCGGGAGCTGGCGCAGAAAATCAAGGGCAGGAACCATACTGGCAAGACTGGTGGCGTGGGGCAGTACAATAACTACGTCAGTGAGGAGCTCGATGTGAGGGAAGGGTTCAAGGAGAACGCGAAGAGGTTGGTGGAACTGAAGAAAAAGTATGATCCAGAGAACCGGTTCTCGAGGAGCCCTTGGAAGATTGTCATTACGTAGATAGAGACGTCATATCATTGCAAGGAACAGTGAGATCTGGAGGTTACCCTGCTTTCAACGCTTTCAAAGGATTTGTCGTTTTAATTGGAGTCTCATCCAACTTGGTTATCGATGCCGGTGAGGTTCCAATCTCAGCCATGGTCTCATCTCCTATGTTTCTGGTCCTCTACATGGCTCACTTTCGCCCCAGAAACAGTGAATTGAACTTAATCAACTTTAACACCTCAGGAAAAACCTTGCATTAGCTGGTTCAAATTTTCAAGATGTAAATGAAACAAACAATTTTATCGTTCTCTTCATCGTCATATCACGGTGGCAACGCCAAAAGTACCCAGAGGACTCAGGCACAGCAGTTCACGATTTCTGACCGACTTTGAGGTGGATTGACACAAGCTGATTGGTATCAGTTGATTCATCACACGCAGGCGTTGGCAAATGAGGCAGTGTCACCCGGATATGCAGACCCAAGGTATACAACCAGAAATTGCGCATGCTCCCTTGCATCCTTTTCTCCTCATACTACTTCGAAGAGTAGTCATATGATACATTCCCTATCCTTTATTCTACCAAACTCGAGATTATGTTCATCCGACCCCTTGCTTCGAGTGAGCCCAAGTGTCACACGAAAATGCTTCACAGACGCTCAGAATTCTGATATTCATGTAACCAACGTACAAAGTCCGCGTTGTCAACTGCCAACATACCATCAGCCGTAGGGTCCCGATCAGGCATGTCTAGGAGTGACATTCTGAACCTTTTTGTTGAGTAGCCGAAGACTTCTCCAGATGTGGACAGTTTTCGGACACTGTAGATAGTGTTCTGAAGTGTTATCGACGTCCTACCATGGCTTGGATCTTGTTCATTCACATATCTAGATAGGATTCGATCGTAAAATGAACAAATTTGCATTTGATAAACACTATAGAGTGAGACGTATCATTCGAATTACAATCTTGTTTTCAAGCTTAAAGCTTCGTTACGTCGCGTATCGAGTCTTTCTTCCGGCTGCAGTTCAAGCTTGGTGTTATGCAGGATGTGAACCTCACTTTGACGACACTGTCGTACTGCAGAAGAATTTCTTAAAGAATACGCAGAGGATAGGAAGTGGCTCCCCTTTGAGAAAACATCACATGAGAATTGTTTGTTCATTCCTCCACGGCGCATAAGCTGCCATCTTCATCATGGTTCCCCTTGCTTAGGACTCAAGTGAGCGTTGATTCAACTGACTCTTCTTCCGATGGAATGATTCAGGAGGTCTACCCAAACTTATTACTTGGCATGTTCGCTGGTATTTAAACTCGACCTCCGCAAGACATCACCAGTGTTTTTTCATCCTTACTCCATCTTGAGTTTGCCCATTACATCTTCGGAGCGTTCCAGCCTACCACATATTCTGTCAAACATTCTCGAAGGTCATAACCAAGACGCCACTTGAGTCCGTCAACATGAAGGTCCTTTCTCTCGCCGCTATCAACTCTCTGATTGCCGGATTGGCCATGGCAAGAGATTGCCCAACCGAGTCCGACTGCATGCAGAAATCTTGCAGGGATTTCGCCATCAACAAACACGCAATGCTTCCCATGGAGGAAAAAGACGACACTAAAGCTCTACTTGAGGCCATCTGCAAAGACAGCCGAGGCAAGGAGGTCTACACCTGGCTCAATTTGAAGGAGTGCCTCACAAACAACAAAGGCAAACTGTTTTGGCAATACCAGTAAGATTTCCCTGACTGTTCTGGATTTATAACAGTGTTTTAACGTATATCCGTCAGGGGAAACTTCCAATGCTCGAGTTGTTCGATTTTGGACCGAAAGTCCGACTCAGACCCCGTCATTCTGAAATGCTTGTGCTGGGGAAATGGCTATGGAGCGACTGAGTTCAATCTCTGTGAATATTCCCCTCACTCTCCTGCGTTTCGTTGCGTTCTTGAACTAACTTAAGCACTTTTCAGCCGAGGGCATCTGGGTGAACGATGGTGTCATTGGTTGCTTCAAGACCAACGGCCACAAGGCTCCGATAGGAAAATAAGCCGAGCGAAAGCATTGCCCCTAAGAAAGCAGCTATTCTCGAAGCTGTTTGAGGTGCAGGTCCAGAGTCTGCTTTATGATGTGCTTGCGTCTCGTTCTATGTAGATGTCATGAATTTCGACGGCTCAGCTGCTAGCCTTTCCCCTATTATCAAGTTGCCGTCTGCCTCCAATAGAGGCTCAGTCCAGATTCTTTTGGTAGACAATAACGTGACTTACTTTGTCGACATACGCGATGCTGTGTATTGAACACATGCGCATCTCGTAGTGCCGCACTCATGTACATATATAAAAACATCCAAGATGGATACCTTATGTTGACAACCTTCAACCTGAAGATCAACATCACTAAACTAAACGATTCTTGATGTTCTCCTTGAGACTAATTTGACACTCATATAATCTTGAATTCAAACAGATGCGGCATCCTCATATGCTGCTGTGAAGTACCAGTCGTTGAATTTTGAGCGGTGAGCGTTGCGGCTTGGTAGGTTTTTGCGGTTAGAGCAGGCGCTAGACGTGCGTCTAAACGAAGAGATCGATAGTTTCTATCAAATGAAAGTTACAGATGTAATCGTCCCCATCTCCGAGTCTGGGACTTCAGCTACAAATCAAAGCCATTGCGTTAATGTTGTTGGCTGCGAGGACATGAAAGAAAATAAAGTGCGATCCGGTCACAAACTTGTTTTCAAGCTTAAGCTTGGCCAGATAAGTTCCACTGCTGATTCTCCACCTTCGATACAGTCTTGGGGATGGATCACGCAGCCAATGTCAAGCAACGCGACTGGCTTTCACCGTTCCACCGCTTTGCACACACCGAGAGGCACGCAGGACAGACAGACAAACGGTGTCACAATACCTAGGTAGTAGCATAACATGCCCCTTGCGTCCCATGACATATGGAAACTGAAGGCCATGAAACTCCTACCTCGTATCATTCCTTCTTGGCTCACCTTTGCCCTATTACGCCCCCGACATACTTTCTCGTAAAGAACCAGTTTTGTATGTGCCCCTTACTGCTTCAAACGTTACATCGAATGGCCACTACATCAATTATCCTGAAGTCTGCTGGTTCTCTCGCCTCTTATTTAAACTCTCTCACTTATCATAGTCTCGACTCCTTTTGTCACTCTGACTATCCAGAGTCCACCAGCCAATCCGGAAGCAAACACTACTCTGTCCATCGTTCCATCCCATCCCCAGAATGAAGACCCTTTCCCTGGCCACGCTCGGCTCTCTGGCTGCCACTCTAGCTGTTGCCAGAGACTGCCCCGTTGAATCTGACTGCATCCAAAAGGCTTGTACAGACTTCCACATCACTGATCAAGTCATGGGTCTATATGGGCCCATGGAACGGATGCTTGGCGCTACATGCGAGGATCGTCACGGCGCAAAGGTCTTCACCTGGTTGGACCTTGACTTATGCATCACGAACTCGCATGGCACCATGTATTGGTCCTACATGTCAGTACCACACGCACCTTTCCCCTACCATCTATCTCTTTGAAGTGAGCCGAACTAAACATATACCGAAACAGGGGCAATTTCAGGTGCAGTAATTGCAAAGTTCTTCCCCGCAAAGACAATGAAGCCGTCATCTTGGAATGCAAGTGCAGGGATAACGTTAACCGCAGCACGATCAACCTCTGTAAGTATCCTACACCTCCGCTATCCTCCGAATCTCGTCGGCGCCCCACGCTTGTTTTGTCCTGGTCTCGTATTTCGTAATACCACTAACGTTCTGCTAGCTGAGGGTATCTGGCAATACAACGGCAGGATCGGCTGCTACAAGGAAGAAGGAGCCCTGGTTCCTATCAGCCCCGTCAAGAAGAAGCGTTCCAACGAGCCGGAGACTTTCACCTTGCCCTACCCGGTTGGACAGACTTTGGATGATGTCCCTCAGTCTGTGGAACAGCGCACCGTCAAGCTCCCTTTCCCTGTAGGACAGACCGTGGACAAGATCCCTCATCCTGTGGAACAGCCCGGCGACGGCTCTGCCCATGGCCCACCACGCATTCCGGACACTCCGGATCGCTATATCGATGTGACCACCGAGAGACGCTCCGAAGAGCCGCGCGCCCTTGAGTTCCCCAGAGATGACAACGCTCCATTTGGCGACGATGACAGCACGGAAGAACCGGCTTATGATGATGGCAATGGAAAGCGCTCTGAGGAGGGGCACGCTGAGCACATCTCCAAGCGCGGTCGCAGCTTCCGCCAGTTTTAAGCGTTGGATTGACCTCCCGACAGCCAGGCTAGGAAGCATCCATGTGGTTGAGGTGTGGTGAATGGCTTTGGTGGACTTCTGAGGACGTAGTTTTGCTGGGATTTCCTATGTCAATATGAAAGGTTGACCAGACTGTCATTGAGATTCAGTCACGGGAGTATTCTGGGAGACATCAGACACTCATTCATCGGCTCAGGAAGCAATCAGCTTCGTTGGCAACGCGTTCAGTTCCTTGATTGCATCTTTTCCCCTGCGTTTTAAGTGTCATACCTCCAGTTTGTTGCGTAACACCAAAGCCAGCTCCTTACTTCTCACGAGCAACACAGGCTTCAGCGACGTTATTGCCAGATGCATGTTTTGTTCCATCTTTCAACTCCAAATAAGGCCGGCACGTATAGCCTGTCGTACAACACCATCACAAACCCCTGGCTTCTCCTGACAATCCCGGCTTTGACCACCGTTGGAATCTTTGGGGAAACCGTTGCTTGTCTTTGAAGAGAGACCGACCCCTGAACACCCTCCTTGCATGCCTCTCGTCACACAACAAACTTGCCTCCGCACCCACCGCAAACTTCCTCTGACGTCTCGACACGAACATCGGGACCGAGATGCTCCTGCGCAATCTTCACAACTTCTTTCGCCACAAGGCAGCGGAGTCCGCAAACAGCACATGCCCTCGAGATCCCAGGCGCCAAGATCGCCAACCCAGTGGCAGCACAGGTAGCTATCCTCATTAGCATATACCCCTCAAGACAGCGAGACGAGCCCAGGCAGACTTACCAAAGATATGCCCCCCTTCACAAACAGACTCCTTGCCCATCTGCTTCAACGACGTCTGGCAAAACACGCATCTCTGCTTCTCCTTAACCTCCCTCAACCTCGCCTTCAACGAGACATCCCCGTCAACATCCTCAACAACCCCTGCCGTCTCCGTCGCAAGCGTCCCGGGAACAGCAGGCCCGCCACCATACATCCAATCCCACATCTTGGCCTCAGTGCTCTGCCTCTCCCAAAACGGACGCGGCCGCCCCTCCTCAGTCCCATCCAGATCCATCATCTCGCCGCCGCCACCACCTGACGAAGAAACCTTGCCGCCAAACATCACCCTGGTTTTAACAGACTTCTCCGGCTGCTGCGTGCTGTGCTGCGACACCAGCACTGCCGTCACCCCGCCGGCCGGCGACACCGTCAGGCCCCACACCCTCACCCGATACGGGCGGATCTGCTCGCCCGCGTCCTCGGGCAGGTCGAAGTCCTCATCGTCGCTGTCGTCATCGTCCGACGCGGCGGACTCGGCGTCGCCCCCCGCTGCCCCACCGCTGCCGCGGCCGAGCATCGCCGCCGGCACGGAGAGCTTGACGGTCGAGGAGATGGTCTCGGCCCACTTGGGGAGAACCGTGTCGGTGTAGGTGTCGACGGCGTTCTGCTGGAACCAGTTGTCGTTGCTGCCGGTGGCGGAGAGCCGGACGAGGGAGTAGGAGGGCGCTTTGGTGCGTTTCGTCATGTCGGGGGGATGGATGATGAGACCTGTTGACAAGATTCGTTAGCTTATCATGAACCCAGAGACATGAGTTATAGGGGGGACCGACTCGAGATGGGATTCGTAGCATCCAAAGACGTCGTGTCCTCAGGGTACGTCGTCCCGCACACCTCCGTCTTGTGCCCCTCCTCGACCGCCCCCTCGGGCCCATTGAGCGCGACCTGGAACGGCTGCGCCTTGAACGGGCTCGCGATCACGCCGCGGCAAACCTTAGCTCCATCGTGATCCCAGACGGCGTCCTCCCACTCCACGAACGCGTCTGGGGCGAGGTGCGTGCAGATGCCCGTGACGTCGGCCTCTTCCACGCTGACCTCGACGCCGGCGCCGCGCGCCCAGACGCGGGGAATCGTGATACGGCGGAAGCCGACGTAGTTGCGCGCGCAGTACGATATCACCGCCGTGCGTGCGTCGTCGGAGAGCAGCCAGGGCGACCACTTTAGCGAGAACGCCGAGGAGTATGGGGTATAGTCGGGGTCTGTGATCTGCAATGCATATTAGCAATGGGCAGCCACATGTGTTTGCCAGACTGGGATAAGAATGGCTCACGCTCGGAGTGGGATGCGGCCCCCGCCCATCGAACCTCGCGACCTCCTCCACCTCCCACACATACGCCCCGGCATCCGAGCCGTCGTCGTTCTCGTTGGGGAGGTAATACTGCACGCTCAGCACGACAACCTCCTCCTGGTCCGTCGCGTACGCCAACAACGCCCTCCCCGCATCGACGCGCCGCGCCCACGCGAAGGAGCGGATCTTGTCCTTGGGCAGGTACGCGCCGTCCTCGCTGCCGGCGTCGGGGAGCGGCAGGTTCGCGCCGGCGCCCCAGAGGATCCTCCAGTCGCGGAAGTTGCGCATGCGCGCCCCGAGGTCGATGTTCCCACCACCACCACCGCCGGCACCGGCACCAGCACCCCCGCCTTCGCCGAGGACGAGTAGGGCGCCGTTGGTGAGCATGACGGCGAGCACGGGGCGCAGGTTGCGGCCGACGCCGGCGGGGGACCACTCGAGGGCGACGAGCTGGTTGAGGGAGGCGCCGTAGCCGGTGACGGTGCCGGAGCCGACGCCCTCGAAGACGGAGGCCGGGTCGACATCGCCCGGGTTGGCGTAGTCGTCCTCGTAGGCGGGCGGGGCGAGGGACTGGGCGGCGAAGAGGGCGGCGTTCATGCGCGGGTCGGGTTTGCGGGAGAGGGGGATGCGGAGGATGTAGGTGTAGTACTGCTGGCGGGACTTGTTCTCTGCGTCTTGGGATGCGGCGGCGGCGGCGGCTGCTGCTGCTGCTGGGAGCGCATCATCTTGGGGGTTGTCGTCGACGGCTTCGGGTGGAGGGGCGGCGGGCTTTTGGGTGGATGGGTCTTCGGGGGTCGGGTATTCGGGGAGGAAGACGTGGACGGAGTCGTCTGCTGCTACGGCGAGCTCAGCGTCGCAGGAGAAGGCGATGGCGTGGGTTGCGAGAGGGCGAGACTTGAGGGTGAGAGTCTTGAGAGGGGGGATCTGGTTTGAGGGGCCTGTTAGCGGCAAGTTTTTGAAGTAGGTTCCGTCGAGGATGGCGAGGTCATCCATGGCTAGGATGCATTCAAATGTGGGTATGATGAGGGTGTGTCGTTTGGTAATAAGTAGAATCGACGATGAGGGCGTCTCTCACTGAGAGTAGGCTGATGAGCGCATACATCCGATGATCATGAGTTGAGATGGAAGGCGCCAGAGGATGGTAGCCGCTGTTCCTACAGAAACAAGTTGAGAAGGGACTGAGATCTTGAGAGATTTACTGAATCTCTCCGAGGAATAGGTATCTCGTGGTGAAAGCATATGCTTGACCCTCTCATTGCCTCTCAGACCAACAAACGGGCGGTCTTTACGTACTTGTTAAGAAAGAAGGAGCGGCCAATTGCAACCATGACTCTCTACGGAAGAAATATACTTGGACAAACCTTATTTTTATCCATTTTCAAATGAGATCTGATATCTGCGGCTATCCATGAAGCCAGGTGTGTTATGGTGGAGCGGTCGTTCTTGAAGGCATTCGTCAAATACTGGGGCAAAAGGTTTTGTTTGAGAGAAGCATCAATCTCGGTGAGGAGCTCGGTGAATGTTAGCAGGCTGGCGGGGATTAGCATGCGCCGGCACTACTTCGGAAATATCCGCCGAGACCCAAGCCCCTCACCAAGCTCTGCTCTGCATGCTTCATGAGCCAGAGTTGGCCCACCCCTCCCATCACCACAGCACCTCACAAGGTGTTAAATGGTTTCGTGGTGTAGTTGGTTATCACGTCAGTCTAACACACTGAAGGTCTCCGGTTCAAGTCCGGGCGAAATCAATCTTTTGCCATTTCTGCCTCTAAAAGTGGCAGATTCGTCTTTTTACAATCTTTTCTCTTCGTGCGACAGTCGTTCGCTCCGTTGCCGGCTCACGAGCATCATTTTCTTGAGTTGGCATCTATGCATCTTCTGTATTAAATGTGTGGGTATCAGCTGTCTATGACTCCAACGACCCGGCCAACAACACGATCCCATTCCTCATCCCACCTCAAACTACCCTCCCTCACAGCACCGGCCTTCAGTGTTCTCAGTTCGTCCTTGCCGTCCTCACTCAGCAATCGGATCAGGACCTCCGCAAGCTCGGTCGCAGTCTCGAAGCCACACCCATTCTCGCCCTCCTTGATAAGCTCGCTGAAGCTCTCGTAGGCGGAGTACGCCGCGACGGGCAGACCGGAGCCGAACATGTCCACGACCTTCATCGGCAGGTCGACGCCAGAGCTGGACATGTGCAAACACACGCCGAGGTCGGCGCAGGCGAGGAGGGAGGCGTACTCGCGCGTCGAGAGCCAGGCGGTGAGGATCGTGATGCCGGGCAGCTTGCCTTCGATGCGACGCTTCTTGATCTTCTCCTCGTACTCGGCCTTCTGGGGGCCCTTGCCGGTGATGATGGCCAGGATCGGGGGCCTGCCGACACCGCTTGAGCTGATGGCCTCTTCGGGGTGTGCGTAGGCTACCAAGGCGTCCAGCAGTAGGCCAAAGTCCTCGTCGGGCGTCCACGAGGTGCTGCTGACGATGAGACGGGTGGTGCCGTCACAGATGCTGTCGGCGACGTTCTTGGTCTCCTTGATGCTGGAGAGGAAGGCCTTACGAGCCTCGGCTGACTTGATAGGCTGGAACACCTGGGCGGGACGGTCGTGCAGGACGAAGATGGGCTTCTTGTTGTCGTAGGGCTTCTCACGGAGCTGACGGGCCATGGCGTGGGTGACGGTGAGGTTGGCGGTGGGAATGAGTCGGCCAAAGAAGATTTCGTACTTCTTGTACAGCCAGACCAGGGGGTTCTTCTTGCTGCGGCCGGTGGCCATGATGGACCAGCCGTAGTTGTGCCAGTCGATGAGCAGGTGGCTTCCTCTGAGCAGTGAAACGAGGAGAGCCAGGTGTAGCGTGGGGATAGAAGGGGGATTCTGGACCGAGTTAGATCACACCTTATAAGTTGGCGGCTCACATACCTGAATGATGATCCATCTTGCGGGGGGTGCGGTGTAAGCCAGCACTTGAAAGATGGACCACATTTGCCAGACGACTTTGGCTGGCTTGTTGATCAAGAATGGCAGCGTGTTCCATTTGAAGACAGCCGGCAAGGGCGGTAGAGGATACAGGGCGACTCTCTCATTTCCAACGAGGTCTGGTAGCCGGGCTGTCTCCTTGTAACCAACGAGATCGACTCTTCCTCCATGCTTCATGACACTGAGTGCGTGGTACTGCATGCGCGGGCTGCGACCTATATCGCCCAGCACCAGGATCTGAATGTGGTCATCCTTGGGATTCTCAGCCGCATGGTAGCGAGTCGGCAGAAGCCTTGACAGGGAGTTGATGCCAAAGGCCGCGATGAGCGTGGTAAAGACGCCCGCGACGATGGACACCACCAGCGCCAGGGCCGACATCGTGGCTAGTGGTCGCAATAAGAGGACAGTTGCGTTGGGCGGGAGCGGTGACGATGCGAGCCTGGTGGAGTTTCAGATTGTCGTCGGGTCTTGGCTCTCAGATGTCGCGGCGGTGGTGACGCTTATGCAAGCTGTCCTGTCTTGTGCTGTCGCGGTGCTGTCATCCGAAGTTGCAAGATCGCCTTAGCCCGGGCGCATGGGTGGGTGGGAGGTGGCCCGGGTAGTGGGACACGGGCAGCAGCTTTTTGTACGCTGCACCGGAAGAGTAATATCTCGTTCTTGGCGCTGGAGATTAGCAATGGCCTGTTGCGAAGGGATATTGGAAGGCGCAAAAGTGCTGTCGTCTTGGCCAGGCCCCTCTTCCAAGACGCTCCAGAGTCGTTCTGCTCGCGCCTTCCAACTTGGGTTGGGTGTCGTCTGCTGTTGCAACTGTGGCGCCAATCAGGGGATGCCGTCGGCGATAACATGGAACGGGAAGGTGGCGGGTCACGTGTGAGGGACAATGAGCAAGGTACGTACCCACAAGCTTGCAGCGGTCGACCTGCAGACGCCGTATCGGTATCGCTGGGTCCACGTCCTGTTCACAGTTGCGTGGTTGCTTCAATTCAATTCGCATCGCCCATCAAGGCGGAACTGAGGCTGAGATGTTCTGTCGTCACCCAATTAAGGGGAAACCAGCTGTTGCACATGCCAGACAGAACACAGACCAGCCGCATCGACCACGCTGGTTATTAATGGGCGCATGTCCATCTGAGATTCTCAGACAAGCATGGCATGCCCAGAAACCCAGAGACATGTCGCAATTGGGGCTGGGAATCAATTGGCCAGCTCTCTAGCCTCTGGGTACTGAGTGACAGAGGACCTTCCCAAATCATAGCGCCTGCTCAGTATTCGTACAGAGTACCCGTGGTCGTAAAAAAGACCGCAGGCACATCAGCGATTATCGGCCTAGGATCGGGGTCGCATTGTCTGCATGGGCAACTTTATGCAGCCAACTCCCAGCCCGACGCCCCCCTCTTGACGGCCAACACAGCGAATCAACAACAACGCGACCACGAACGTGCCGCTTCCCAGCTGCTAGCCTCCTCCCCACACGGAGCAATCTGCAGGGGCTGACCGCCGGATTCCTCATTGGGACAGGGACAGAGGGGGGAAGAGAGAGAGACAGCCTGAGAAGCATTCGTCTGAAAGGAGGCACCGCCCGGCGTCCCGTGGTTGGGTTCAGCCAAAAACCAAAAAAATAATAACGCTCCGAGTCCCGGGTGTGCCACATCCCACCTTAAACTTTTGGGCTGCTTGTTTTGGTTTGAACGGTGTTCTTCTTTTTTCTATCTACCTAAAGCTTCCCGGCCTACCTTCTTGCGTCCATCGTCGACTCCGTCTTCCACAAAGAAACCGTCGACGAGAATCCCCTCCATCTTGGCTGCTTCCAGCATCGGCTCGTCTGTGCGACTCACGCCGCCGGCACGCCCATCGTCGATCAAAGCCTCCTACCACCCAGCGCAACGTCATTGACGGGGCGACTACATTCCGCTCCTTTAGCCTGTGCAGGACTGCAGCTGTGCAAGTCCCCTGAACTGCCGCTGGGATAAGGCGAATCCAGCGCTAGACACGGGCACACGACTCCCGTCTGTCATTCTGCCGCTGCTACTATTCGTGCCTACCTCTGGCTATTCTTCCCTAGCACTCCCGTCGTCTCCGTCTCCGTCTCCTCTCCTCCCAGCTCCACGGCCACGGCTGCCGAACGTCCCACGACACCGCAATTGCTACATCCCATCGACACTTCGTTCCTCGCCCACGAGACACAGACACGAAAGCAGAGGCTAAATTCCCCGACCCATGACTTGGGTTGATTTGCGATAGGGGGTTACTGTAAAGGGTCCCGAATCGACGGGTCCTCGGTGGAGAGCGCGACAGCAACGAGCCAAAGAAAACGACATCAATTTCTCGCCTAGATCCCCGCCGATACCGACCACCGACACCGACCCCAGACCGACCCCGACGAGATTGCAACCCTTTCTCCGCGGTCAACATGGCCTCGTCCTACGCCTTGCCATCCTCCGCCCTACCGCATGCCCACCATCACCACATGCATTCTCACTCCCACTCGCCGCCGTCCCTCAATGCGCTGAAGTCAACAATGTCCAACGGTGGGCTGCATACCCACAGCCAGAGCCAAGACTCGACCGGCCACGTACACGACCACGACCATCAACACACTCACAATGGCCACGCCCACGGCCACAGCCATTCTCACACCAGAGGAAACTCGAGCCAGTCGTCCCTTCGGGAAAAGGCGGTGCCGCGATCGCTCGCTGCCATGGACGGATGGAAGACGGACATTACCCCTAGCGGCCGACAACTCCTAACGCCCACGAGCGGCTCCTTCTCGGAGAACTTCCAGCCCCTCGACGGCACGGTGATACACGAACACCACCACGAACATGATCACGACCACGACCATGGCCATTCGCACGGTCATTGCCACGGTCATTCTCACAGCCACAGCCACGACCACTCCCACGGCCATGCCCACGATCACTCGAAGCCATCTTTGTTTACCAAAATCATCCTCAAATACACGCCTGCCTTGCCATTTTTGCATACAATTGTTGTAGAGAAGGATTCGCGGCGGATCTTTTACTTTATGACGTAGGTGAATATGTCTTGTTTTGGGGGGTTCAATGACTGACGCGCGTTGGTCCAGGCTCAATTTCTGCTTCATGGCCGTCCAGGCCTTCTATGGCTACGTTACCGACTCCCTCGGCCTGCTGAGCGACACGATCCACATGTTTTTCGACTGTTTTGCCCTCTTCGTCGGCCTCTGCGCGGCCGTGACGAGCAAGTGGCCCCAGAGCCAGCGATTTCCTTTTGGTCTAGGAAAGATTGAGACGCTGAGCGGCTTCGCCAATGGCATTCTGCTGATGTAGGTGCACTGTATTATTATGGACAGGTCAAGTCTAACAATACACAGGTTGCTGAGTGTTGAGATTATTGTGGAGGCGTTTGAGCGGATATGGGAAGGTCAACAACTCCATCGTCTCAAGGAGCTGCTCATCGTCAGCTTCCTCGGCGGCGTGATCAACCTGCTGGGCCTGTGGGGCTTTGGCCACCACCATCACGGCCACGACCATGGCCACGGTCACTCGCATTCCCACGGCGAGCACGATCACGGACACGATCATTCCCACGGCAAGAAGCACAGCCACGCGCACTCCCATCATAACGACAACATGGAGGGTATTTTTCTGCATGTTCTGGCCGATACGATGGGCAGCGCCTCGGTGGTGCTCTCGACCATTCTTACCTACTACACGGGCTGGACTTTCTGGGACCCCTTGGCATCATGCGCCATTGCCATTCTGATTTTCCTGGCGGCAATTCCGCTGATCAAGTCGTCGGCGCGCAACCTGATGCTGAACATACCCGACGACGTCGAGTACAACCTGCGCAACACGCTGGCGGGCATCCTCCAGCAGAAGGGGGTGGTCAACTACTCTGTGCCCAAGTTTTGGATGGACGACCGTAGCACCGAAGACTCGGGCGACAGACTGCAAGGTATTGTGCACGTGGTGGCAGGACGCGGCGCCGGCCTCGACGAGGTGCGCGACCGGGTGCGCGAATACCTCCTCCGAAACTCAATGGACATTGTCGTCCAGGTCGAGAGGGAAGGAGATGCCAGTTGTTGGTGCGGCGTGGGCCGGTCAACAGGAATTGCGACAACACCGCTGAAAAGGGCGTTTTAGGAGAACGTACCACCGATGACACCGGTGCCGACGATTGTCGAGACGTTAGTGGAGCAGGACGGCCGCACGAAGCGGGACTAGAGGCGTTCGTTCGCGTATACTTCTTTTCTATGACTAGACCACGGGACGGTGAAGACGATGAAGACGAGGGGACATACAGATGTGTGGTGATAGAGGAGTTGGAGACGTGGTACCCTATTTTTCTTGGGGATTAGAACCAGCACAGTTTGGTTCGGCTTGTTTTGGTTTTCCTTTTCTTTGTTCGAGTACAGCTGTTCATGTCGGAGTCTGGGGGGGGGAAACGTTATACACAGGGACCTCGTATCACGGAAAGGCATTGCGACGGCATTCAAAGACTTTGTATGAGTAGACGCACATATTTTGCGCGGCAATGGAAGACTAGATACCCTTTCAAGCGGGTCGCAGATGATTTCGTGATGTGACTAGGGCGAGGGGACGTGTATGTTCCGTCGAACCGAAGGGTGTGACGTGAATTGATGACCAAATCCACCCTCCATCCCGCGCTGCGAGGTCTGGGCTGTTCCGCCATAGGATCTCCGTCCGCCCGGAGAGGGTGCGCAGGTCTGGGCCGATGTAAGGCAAGATGAGGGAGTCTGGGCCAGCTGTCACTTGACGTGCAGGCGGACTGGGGTGCAGAGGATGAGATTGGAGAGATTTTTGGGGATGGATGCAGTGAGATGTTTGTTGTGGTGAGGGATCCTTTGTCGTGCCGGATCTCGCGGGGCTGAAGAACTGCAGGTTTGCAGCAGCTCGACTGGTGCCGTTCCTCCGGGGTAATGGTTGTGACGGTGTTGAATGCTACATACAGTTGAGTTGCGCACAACATCTCATCTCTCGGAATAGATCGTCGACTTTGAATGTCAACTCTGCGGAAGATGCTCCGTTAATTTTAGAGGTGAAACTGGACTGTCTTGCAGTGGAACACACGCGGTGTCTCTGGCAATTCCCCGTCATCAAAAGACGCGATTTCACATGCCGGCGCTGCAAAGGGAGCATCGGGGAATTGAGTTCATCTCATGCTTCTGCCCGCCACCCCACTCCGTAAGGGTCACACGATGTTTGTGAATGACGACGGTTTCCGCCTAAAGAACCTTGAACTCCCAGCCAAAACGTGGGATTTATACCTGGATGTACATGATAGATTCAGGAACGGCACCGTTTGGCCCTTTCGTCCAGAAGCATGCGCCTCATGGCGACATCCATGTGCGACCTCAGGTGGAAGTGGATACGGACGGGATACTGGACGCTGTGTCGTGGTGCACCCCCAAAGTTTAAGGTAGCGCACAACTGTGAACGCAACCCCGCGGGGGGCCCGCTGCTGCTGCCGTCGCACCGCGCTCCCCCAGAACCCCGGATGAAGGTGGAGGGGGGCACTGGAGAGGCGACAATGAGCCGAACGACCGAGGCCCGGGCGGGCACTTCCATCATTGCAGACAGAGGGTTTCATTCTTCCCGCTGCCGCCGCCGCCAATGCTGGGATGAGCTTTTTGGAGAAAGTTGGGGAGGCACAGAAAAATGAAGAAGATGACGCTCTGTCCTTTTTATGTACTCTTAGTCAGGCACAGGTCGCCATTGCGCTTCATCAACCCTAATTTTTTGCAATTGCAACTTGGTCAAGAGGTTTTCCCATTTCCGCAAACAGACTCGCATCACGAGGACTCTTTCTCTCCCAGTGGACCACTACCTACGAGTACCGCGCAAAGTGGGCCGTCCTTTGTAGTTGCCTCGGCTCAGTGACGTAGCGGCATAGCTTCCCCCTCTGCCTCCGCCATCGCAGCATCTCGAGCACATCCGGGGTTGCAACGTCGACACATACACCAAAAACAAAAAAGCTCTCCACGGAGTACCG